CACAATCCAAAAGCTGAAAGATGAAGCTACACAAATTCATATGGGAAATAAGATTTAAATTTTTAACTGTGAGAGTAATTAACCATTGAAACAATTTACCAAGGGTTGTGGTGGATTCTCCATCACTGGCAATTTTTAGACCAAGATGTTTTTTTCTGATGTTGTTTTCAAAAATATGGAATTATTTTGGGGACATTCTGTGACTGTGCTATACAGGAGTTCAGACTACATGATCACAATGGTTATTTCTGGCCTTGGAATCTGTGAACCCCTTCACTCTGCCCAGAGGATTCTTTCTGAAACATTGATTTCATTTACTCCTCAGTAAGCCCCAAAGGCCTTTGTCATGTATGCCACCAGACTGTTAACAATTCATATAACAAGATATCTGTGCACTGCTATTGACAGTTGCAATTATTCAACAAAAAAACCTTCAAAAACAGACTCCAACGAGAAACAGCAGAACTGGAATTAATCTGCAAACTGGACACCATTAAATTAGGCTTGAATAAAGACTGGGAGTGGATGGGTCATTACACTAACTAAAAACTATTTCCCCATGCTAATTTTCCCCCTACTGTTACTCACACCTTCTTGTCAACTGTTTGAAATGGGCCATCCTGATTATCACAACAAAAGTTTTTTATCTCCTGCTGATAATAGCCCACATTAATTGATTGATCTCGTTAAGGGTTGGTATGGCAACCCCCATTTTTTCTTGTTCTGTGTGTGTGTGTATATATATATATATATATATATATATAATTTAAAATCTTCCTCAGGGCCAGCTCTAGGATTTTTGCTGCCCCCAAGCAAAAAAAATTTTGGCTGCCCCCGCTTTTTTTTCATGCCTCCCCGCCCCTGGCTCCGCCCCTTCCCTATCCCTTCCCCAAATCCCCAGCCCCGCCTCCCCAGGATTTGCTACATTCCCCCCCCCAATTGCTTCCTGCGGCTCCCTTCCACCCCTGCAACGCCCCGCCCTAGCTCACCTCCGCTCCGCCTGCTTCCCTGAACACGCCACCGCTCCACTTCTTCCCCTCCCTCTCAGGTGAGGGAGAGGCAGCGCGTTCAGGAACCGCTCTCCGCCCCAGCTTGCCTCCGCTCCACCACTGCCGCCTCCCCTGAGCGCACTGCCGCTCGTCTTCTCCCTCCTTCCCTCCCCGTGCGAAACAGTTTTGCGCGCGGCAAGCCTGGGAGGGAGGTGGGAGAAGCCGAGCGGCGGCAGTTTCCCTCAGGGGAGCAGGCGGAGCGGAGGTGAGCTGGGGCAGCAGGGGCACATTTCTAGGGGGGGCATGGCCAGCGCTGGAATGCCGCCCCTAGAAATGCGCTGCCCCAACACCTGCTTGTTTTGCTGGTGCCTAGAGCCAGCCCTGATCTTACTGTATTTTCCACTGCATGCATCTGATGAAAGCTTATGCTCAAATAAATGTGTTAGTCTCTAAGGTGCCACAAGTACTCCTTGTTCTTAATATTCACAGTACTCTATTTGCAAATCAGTAAGGCAGTGTACTGGTGCACAGTTTTGGTAAATAGAGTGTCTGTGTGTGTTTGTGTGCGCGTGCGGATGTGGATGTGCGCCTCACTGTAGTTAAGTCATTACTTTAAAAATCAGGGGATGAGATTTTAATTTACCGTTTACATATTTTGCCCTGAGCTGAACCCCTACAGGATTTTGATATTAGGATTAGAAGGTAAATGTTTTTTGTATTAAAAACTGCTTAAAGTATAAATCTGCACTGAGTATCATGAGGCCACCTGTCTTCAAAACAAATAATCCTCTCCTCTGTTGAACTACATAGTGCAGGTAATGGTATGTGGCGTTTTCCTGAATTGGAAGTGAGTAATGAGAGGAAAGGTAAAGATGATGAAATATATTTTTCATTTAATCATTTTAAACATTAAACGAATACAGCAGGGCTTTGGAGCTGTGCTCCGGCTCCACTCCAGCTCCAGGCAAAAACCTGCAGCTCCACTGCTCTGGAGCTAATCTGCGCTCCAGCTCCGGGCTCCACTCCAAAGCCCTGGAATACATCCCTCAATCTCTGGATACATTTATGATAAAATAATTTAGAACTTGGATTGTAGACATTATTGTCATTAAATCGTATCATTAAGGTGAATTAACTTTTTTTTGCATGAAATAATTTTTAAAGATGTCAGAAGTCTCTCTTCCCTTTTAAAACATACCTTTTCCAAATTCTGTTTTCTTTTCAGTACTCTTTTTGCTTTTAGCTTGCCTCTGGCCGAAGGGGCAAATTAAGATTTCAACTCAGCAAACCATCCCTATGCAGCAAAGTTCTTAACGTTAAGTATGTGCTTAAGTGCTTTGTAGAGCTTGGACCCAAGGTCCTGAACCTGCATTGAAAACTGTGCAGATGCAATGATCTGTGCACATGATTCTGTGTGTGTTTGGGAACCAATTTTGTAGGTAAAGATTCAAATGGGATGAACTCTGAGTAAAGTGGCTGATATCTTTCCAAACTGTAAAAACTAAATATTTATTTTATAGAGTACACAAGTTTTTCATATGTAAAAACAACTTCCAAAACCTAAATTTCTTAAACAGCAGTACACTACACTCTGCTGAAAATCTGAGGTGGACCACCAGAGTTTTGAAGATTACCAGTTGTATTTAACCACAGTTCAGCTGCTTTAGATTTAAATAAATTAATAAATAGTAGACTTCTACGAATGCTAAAAAGGGCATATACTCTAGGTGCCTTTGACATAATTAATTATATCACAAAAAATACCTTCACTGCAGCAGTACGATTCACTATAACCCACCAAAGGTGAAACAGGGAAGTTAAAAGTTTATATCAGTGTCACCTCCAGAAATTTTCTACCTTTGTAATTCCCCCCCAGTTTTAAATGCTTGGGGTAAGGAGACGAGCTTTGTGACATGCCCCTCAGAGTATAGTTATTTTGGACTAAGGAGTGGAGCAAATTCCAAAGTAATATTCAGAATAACATGTCAAGATCTAGGTAGTTATTAGAAAAATGCTATATTTGGATCCAGAAATTATTACATATATTTGACTATATTGCATGTTTAAGATAATGGCCATTGATGAGGGTTGACAGTATGCCACCTCATCTTGTTTTAACTGAAATCATTATTAGCTATGAGGTGATGCAAAGTCATAGCTGATCCAGTGATGAGAAATAAATTCCTGTATTAGAATGCGTCCTGTATTAGAATGGATTTCTGTTGTGAAGAGTTCTCCTTTAGTTAAATAATCTCCTCAGTTCCTTACAGTAATAGAACGAGATGTTGGATATCTAATTTAAGTATTTTGTATGTATTTAATGAAAAATTATCATTCTTAACTCATGCTTGATAGGTGATGAGTCATTTCTTTGAGTATTTTGTTTTTATAGCTATTTTTTATACAGCTTCATTGTAGGTTTTTGAAAAATTGCAGAGCTTGTAAATTTAATATGGGTGCTGTTTTATCACATTTTTAAATGGTTATTTTCTAGATTGTGTAAATTGTTCAGGGTAGGGATGATCTTCCTTTTATCTCTTGTACAAGTATTGAGCACGTTATCAGCATTTAGTTATTAACAGTGCCTTCCAACATCTCACTATTTTTGTCACACAGTTTTGGCCAAACTGAAGTTTCTTTTAACTTAGTTTTGTGTAAGGGTTCAAATTTAGAATTGATTTTAGTTACCTAATTCTCTCTTATGTTACTTATGTTATGGTAGTGTTGAGAGGCTCTAGCTGTAACTGGAACCCTGTTGTGTTCAGTTTTGGTCACAGTATTTCAAAAGAGATGTAATAGAAATAGAGCAGGATGGGGGACTAAAGTGAGTCATAGGAGATTGAGATGATTGTGACTGCTTCATTTAGAGAAGAGATGAATAAGAGGAGTATGGCTGATGTATACAATAATGAATGGAATACAAATGATAAATCATTCACTGCTAATTATCTTTTATTATAATATGAGAATATGGGGACAGTCTGTGAAATTGAAAGAAAGCTAACTTAAAAATGATACAGGTAAATTCTTTACACAATGAATGGTTAACCTGTGGAACTCATTCCCACAAAATATTAGTGAGACTGAGCTTAGCGGGATTCAAAAAATGGATTAGACATTGATATGGGTTATCAGAAATTCTCCATTACATTAGATGAGAATTAGATGAGATATTTTTTTAAATTGGAAAGGACCAACCTTTTTGCCTCTGATATTTTATGAAGAAGCTTCTTCTGTGGGCATGTTATTCCTTAATTGTCCCCTGTAGAGCTTCTTGCAGCTTCCTGAGAAGCACCAGTTCCTAGAGATGCGATACTAGACTACACAGAGCACTGGGCTGAATGCAGTGTGGCAGTTCCCAAGTTATGAGCTATATAAAAATAGAGGTAGACACAGTTCTTGTCCTAAAGACATTATAACCTGATAATGAGCTGGTCTAAATGTAAAACCTACCCTTCAGTCTAGCCTTTCCATGATGATGAAAATGGGAAGTAAACAGAACAGGGATCATGTAGTTTACTTTTAGACTTTTATGTCATGGTGATGAGATCAGCAGGAGTTCAGTAGATTAAAACCAATATTGAAAATATATTTTCTTGAGATATTTTGACCAAAAACCAAATCAGTATCAATAAGGAACTAGAACGGGGAGGAGGCACTAATAAAATAGGGAAGAGAGACCCAGAAGAAGAAATAAAGGTGGAAATGAATTGTATAATTTAGGCTTCAGAGTGTATTTGAGTTTTCTACCTATCCTTATAGTTAATGATAGGTAATCATGTGGATAGTAAAAGAAAGTTAAAATTGTAACCTCACATTTTGAGGTTTGGAATTCTCTCTCTCTCTCTCTCCCCTCTCCCCACCACTTTTAAAAGTGTGAAACTTAAAGAAGGTCGTGAAAGGAAAATATGTATTTTTGTATTAGAATTTTTGAATCTCTGTATATTGGTAAATATACGAGTGACTGTTTATTTCATAGTTTGCAAATTATTTTTTGGTCTCTTTCTTTAGTTTTTACCAGATTCGTGCTTCTATGAAAATTCCTCCAAGAGTGCCGCACAAATTAGAAGCCAGCTTGTTACCTGTGACAGGTAAGTACAAGAATTTTTATAGTGAATGTAGTCTAGTTTGACTACATTAATTAAGAGGACACCTCCAGGATTTTTATGTGCAGAATCCGACTTCCTTTAAATTATTATAAGCTAAATGCCAGCAATGCTTCACATTCCTCAATTTGTAATTTAAAAAAAAATCTGTAACAGTAACTGAGAATAAAAAGTCTTTTTTTGTGCTGACCTGTGTTATCTGCCTTGTTCATCTTCACAGAACTATTCATTGAAGCTGACCGTACACTCTATTATTGGAAATGATATGGGAGAAACAAATAAAACAGCTTGACTTTCAGATTTCATGTTGAGTTTGCAGGGTTGCCAGGTAGAAAGACATCTTTTTCTTGTAAAGTGAGCAAATTTAATGTGGACTCACTGAGAGATCCCAATCACCATGACTTTATTAAAAGTAACTAAGTAACTTTAAGTGGAACCACACTTGAAAGGGAAAATGTGCTGACATACTTATGAGATTAGAATTTTAGTCCATTTGTTTAAATAATTGTCATTGCCTTTATGTAATGCTATATACCGTATATACTCATTCATAAGCTGAATATTTTTGGTAAAAAAGTGATGCATCAAAGAGTGGGAGTCGGCTTACAAACGGGTCTACACCAAAATTTGATGATTTTAAACTCTATGAAATCATTGAATTGAATATCTAATACATTGTCATTTTGTTTACTTGGAGCGTCTGCAGGCATGGCGTGCCACTTTCCCGAGCTCCCGTTGGCTGGGAACGGCGAACTGTGGCCACAGAGAGCTGAGGGGCTCCATCCCTGCAGACGCTCCATGTAAACAAAACATCCCGACCCGCCAGCGGCTTACCCTGATGGGCCAGGAGCCAAAGTTTGCCAACCCCTGAATTATAGGGTCGGCTTATGAAAGGGTCATACAGTTTTTACTATTTTTACCTATCCATCTTGGCTTATAAACGAATGGGCTAATGAACGAGTATATATGGTATATTAAATTGTTTTGATGAAAAGGAATTTATTGCCCCTGAGGTAAACCTTGAAAGTCAAGAGTACAACATAGATCTGAAATAGGGAAGGGGAGCCAAGGTAGCCCTTCTGACATCGCTTTTAACAATACCATCTAAATAGCTATTTCCTAAAGTCTCCCTCTCCACACCCGGTCCCAGTCTCTTTTTCCAGTCAGTCTGTCTCCCCTCCTCCATCTCCTTGCCAATCTGTATTGCCCAGTCTCCTTGCGAAACAAGTCCCAGCCTTCCTCCCCTGCAACCCTGCTCCCAGTCCCAGCCTCTTTGCCCAGCCAGTTCCAGTCTTCTCCCCACCCAACTCCCAGTGCCAGTTTCCCACTCCCTCCCCAACAGCTTTTAGTCTCAGTCCCTCCATCCACCCAACCCTAGGCTCCCTGACCCAATCTAATGCCTTTCTCCTCCTCACCCCATCCCCCCAGTCCAGCTCTTGTCAGCTGAATCAGGCAGCAATCATCCTCCATGCTTGCTTGAGTGTAAGCAAGGGGATCACTGAGAGCTTAGGGGAGACAGGCTTCCTGCATTTAGTTCCAGTTCTCTGATCAAGCCCAGCCTGCCGCCTACAGCTCCATTTTCAGGGAAGGTCCAGCTCAGCCCTAGGCTGCTGGACTCTTCAAGGAAGTTTGTTCTGAAGCTCTAGCTACTCTCCACTGAGCACGTACAAACTGCAGTTTTTCCATACACTTATAACTTGGCCTAATCTGGGTGGATTTTCACAGGAATGGCAAAAGACACATCACTGGCATATACACATACACTCTCACATAAAAAAGCTTCCCCTCCCTAACTGAACCTGGTCAAATTTCAGATCTCTGCTCCAAAGCATGGGGGTGCTGAATCTTCTCAAAGAAAAGGTTGCCTGAATTTAATATGGGCAAAACAATGTAATTTCTTTAACCTCATTTTTGCAAATAGGTGAACCATTATTACTGAAATTTCCCAAAACAGTTCAGCCTGAGGCTGACAATCAGCATGTAAAATTTCAGCCCAAATGGTTAAAGTTGGGCAAAATTATAAGCAATTGTAAATAGGTTTTGCAATAGGAAGTATGAGGCAACCTTAATAGGTGTTGCTGCCTCTCCTGCTTATAATTACAAATGGGCACTATTCATAGATTATAAACTCAGAGGGAATTATTGTGATCATCTAGTCTGACCTCCTGCATAAAACAAGCCTGAGGATTTCCTTGAATTAATTCCTGCTTTAAGTTCAGTAGCTTTGGTTTAACTGTAACATATCTTTTAGAAAAAATATGGAATCTAGATAAAAATTTCTGGTGATGGAGAATCCACCAGAACTCTTGGTAAATTGTTCCAATGATTAATTACGCCCACTGTTAAAAATTTCCACCTTATTTGTATCTGAATTTGTTTAACTTTAACTTACAGCCATTGGATCTCATTATAACTTCCTCTGCTACAATGAAAAGCCCTCTTATATTAAATTTCTTTTCTCAAAATATGTTCTGAAGGGGTGATTTGATCACAAAGTATAAAAGTCTCTTTGATGAGCTAAATAGATTGAGCTCCTTGCGTCTGTCACTGTAAGGCAGGTTCTCTGATTTTTTAATCATTCTCGTGGCTCTTCTCTGAACTGTCCCCAATTTACCAACATCCTTCATGAATTTTGGACACAATATTCCAGTAGCAATAGCACCAGTGCTGAAGACACAGGTAATATAATCTCCCTACTTCTACTTGAGCTTCACTTGTACATTCAAGGATTTCCTTAGCCTTTTTGGCCATAGCATCGTTCTGGGAGCTCATGTTCAGTTGATTATCCTCATAACCCCCAGAGTTGCTGCTTCCCATGGTAGAGTCCCCGATACTGTAACTATGCTCATGTTCTTTATTCCTAAATGTCTGACCTTATATTTGGCTGTATTGAAATGCATATTGTTTGCTTGTGCCCATCTTACCTAGAGATCCAGATCACTCTGTGTCAGTGACTTGTTCTCTTCATTATTTGCCACTCCTCCAATCTTTGTGTCATATGCAAACTTTATCAGATTTTATATTTTCTTCCAGATTATTGATAAAAATGTTAAACACAACTCTTAGAACCCCACTAGAAACGCAGCTGTTTGTTGATGATTCCCCATCTACAATTAGATTTAGAGACCTATCGGTTAGCTATCCATTTAATGTGTGCCATGTTGAATTTGTATTATTTTAGTTTTTAATCAAAATGTTGTGCATAACCAAGTCAGATGCCTAACAGAAGTCTGTTACATCGTTACCTTTATTAACCAAACTTGTAATGTCATCAAAAATGGTATCAATTTAATTTGATAAGATTTATTTTTGCATAAACTCATTCTGATTAGCATTAATTATATTACCCTCTTTTAATTCTTTATTAATTTAATCCCATATTAGCCATTCCATTATTCTGCTGAGGATCAATGTCAGTCTGATGGGCCTGTAATTACTTGTATCCTCTTGTTTACACTTTTTTAATATTAGCATGACATTAACTTTCTTCCATTCTTTTGGAACTTCCCTCGTTTCCCAAGAATCATTAAAAAAATGTTAATGGTCCATGAAGCCCCTCAGCCAGCTCTTTTAAAACTCTTGGGTGCAAGTTATCTGGATCTGTTGATTTTAAAGTGTCTTTCTTCAGTAGCTGCTGTTTAACATCCTCATGAGTTACTGTTGTAATGGAAAGTATTTTATTATCATTATCATCTGGCTTTTCCCCAAAATACAGAAGAGAGATATTTTGAAAACTTCTCTCTTTTCTGTATTATTATTTATAGTTCTACCTTTTCCATCTGATAATGGATAATTATTGGGATTCCTTTTGTTCCTGATATACTTAAAATACTCCTGGTTGTTGTCCTCTGCTGACTATAGATTTCTCTTTGTGTCCTTTTACTTCCTTTATTAATTTTCTATATTATCGTCTAATTTATATTGTTAGTATCTTCCCCTCCTGTTCCATTTTTATATCTGTCTGTCTATGTGTCTGTCTGTCTCTGCTTTTACTTCCCCAGGCTGTTTTTTTTTTTTTAACAAATATAGGCTTTTTTCTTGATTGTGGCTTTTGGGGGGGGCATCTAGTAAAAAAGTTCTTAAAGCTCCTAATATAAGTTTGCTTAATACTTTCCATTTTAAGACCCCGTTTTCAGTTGCTCATAACTTGGTCACTTGTTAAGTGTTTGAGCAAAAATTTTCCATGTAGGGTATCTGCCTCAGACTGATTTTTTTATTTATTTATTTATTTTTAAGTTTCAACTCCAGCAGTCAAGCCTGTTTCTAAGCTGCAGGCTCTAAGGCCAGAAGGGGCCATCATGATCATCTAGTCTGACCTCCTGCACACTGAAGGCCACAGAACTTTCCCCCACCCTTTCTGTAATGGACCCAGAACCTCTGGCTGTGTCACTGAAGTTCTTATATCGTGATTTAAAGACTTCAAGTTACAGAGGATCCACCATTTACTCTAGTTTAAACCTGCAAGTGACCCATGCTTCAGAGGAAGGCAACCCCCCCCCACCCCCCAGGTCTCTGTCAATCTGACCTGGGGGGAAATTCCTACCCAACACAAAATATGGCTATCATTTGGAACCTGGGCATGTGAGCAAGACCCATTAGCCAGACACCTGGAAAAGAATTCTCTGTAATAACTCAGAGCCTTCCCCATCTAGTGCCCCATCTCTGACCATTGGGGGTTTTTTGCTATTAGCAGTCATAGATGGGCAGCATGCCATTTTAGGCATCTCATCATACCATCCCCTCCATAAATTTATCACATTCAGTCTTGAAGCCAGTTAGGTTTTTTGCCCCCACATCGCCCCTTGGAAGACTATTCCAGAACTTCTCTTCTCTGATGGTTAGGAACCTTCATCTGATTTCAAGCCTAAACTTGTTGATAGTCTGTTTATATCCGTTTGTTCTTGTGTCAACATTAGCGCTTAGCTTAAATAACTCCTCTCCCTCCCTGGTATTTATCCTTCTGATGTATTTATAGAGAGTAATCA